GGGCGCCTGTAGTCCCAGCTACTTGGGAGGCTGAGGCAGAAGAATGGCGTAAACCCGGGAGGGGGAGAGGTGGACCTTGCAGTGAGCCGAGATCGCGCCACTGCACTCCAGCCTGGGCAACAGAGCAAGACTCCGTCTCAAAAAAAACCAAAAAACAAAAAACAAACACAAAAAGTTAGCTGGACTGGTGGGTGCATGCCTATGTAGTTCGAGCTATTCAGGAGGCTGAGGTGGGAGGATGCCTTGAGCCTAGGAGTTCAAGGTTATAGTGAGTTGTGATTACACTACTGCACTCCAGCCTGGGTGACAGAGCAAGACCCTGTCTCAAATCATGATGATGATTAGATATTTTCTCAGTAGCTATGGAGACAGGATGATAAGAGTGCCTGCTCTAACTAAAGCACCTTTCTCATCCTTTTTTAAAAAATTGTCTTTCTGGAAAAATTCAAAAGTACCAGTTTTTATTGCCATTTTCTCAGATGTATCTTTTTTGGTGGTGACAGAGTGATAATCCAGTAACTACCACCTGGGCTTAAGAAATGACGATGTTCTTGTTGTTTCCTAAGACTCCTCGGTTCAGTTTCACCTGCATGGAATTCTCAGGGTAAATTAGTACACTATCTTAAAGAGAAAGACTAAATTCTTAATCTCTAATAAAACAAATTTTGTGTAAAACAAGAGCCAAAGAACTGACTGGGCTGTTTTGTTTATTTAAAGGAAAACCTGAATCTCTGCATCATGTAATTTTTAACTTTAAAAAAACAAAAACATGAAATCCCTCTTAACATGCTACTGTATGTTCCATTAAAGAAGAAAGCAAAGTGACCAAGTAGAAGTGTATAGGACAAGATAGTACCTCAGCCTGGGCCAAGGGGAGATTCAAGTAATTTATTTTTTTGCAGCCCAGTGGCAGAGTCTCTTACTCAGGTTGCTAAAGGGAGAATGTAACAAGAGAATTGACATCACTCCCTTCTTCAAAGCAACAAGGCATCTTGAAAGCTCAACTTCCTGGTGAAGCTCTGTTGTTGGTAGCAGGAATTATTTCACCCATGTGAAAAGACAGCTGAGTCTGAGATGAAAACTCTTCAAAGGAAAACCTCCCCTCAACAGTCAGAATGAAGAACTTCAGCCAACACATAATCAAATTCACTTTTGGTCTATCCCAGAATTTTGCATTGGGAGGAGAGGTAGGTACAGTTTCTCAGCCCACAGTCATTGCTTCATTCCTCATCTGGATCAGATGGTAGTTAGAAAAGAAGCTCTGCTACATCCATCTTCTCTATACCAGGAAAGAGGAAGAGTGGCAAAAGCAGAGTCTTGTCCTTCAGAGATTCATTCTGGTTCTGTTGTGGGCTATGGCATCCTGTTCCCAGTATATGCATTTTGAGATCAGATAGAGCTGCTCTTCCAGGAGTCAGCACCCACGCTCATGTCCGTCTTTCAGTTAAATCTCCTTGGTTTAGTAACTGTAAAAGATGGGAAGCAAATCTAGAATAGGTTACAGTTGAATGACAGAAAAAATAATTCATACTAAGTAAGGAGGAGGACGGAGAATGCACTGCAGGAAAAGGATTAAGAGTGGAAGATGGAGAGTGCACTGTAGGGGTAAACGAAGGGCATCTACTTCCAAAGCAAACACATGCACAGACTGACAGATGTCACTGTGGCCTTGAGACAGCACTTTAGTCATGTCATAAGGCTGCATTTTAACTCTGGCAATAGAATATTCTGAGTCTATAAGCCAAACTATTATTTGTGTAGTTATCTACTCACCAGTCAGTGACAGAGGAATCTCTTAAGTTACAGGGAAAACAAATGGTGGAACCAAAATCTTATACATGTCAGCCAAAGGACAGGCTGAAGACTCAAGTAGGAGAAGGAAATAGGAAGAGGAGCTATTTCTTTATAGGTACTATATGAGAGCTGAAACCCGCTCATAAAAGATATAGGAGTTCCTTGGGCTTAAAAGAATACCTTTGCTGTGATGAAGGAAGATAAGCCTAAGGGACTCCTGCACAATGGCAGCTACCACTAACATTCTACTCTATACACAAGGCTCTATTCAAAGGAGCTTTTGAAGTAATAAATGAAATTGGTTTCCATTTTAATATAAAAACAAAATGAGGCTGGGTGCAGTGGCTCACGTCTGTAA